TTTGCACAAGCTCTTCCAGTTACTGAGCATTTTTATAGCACAAATGCTGACTGAAGAGCTTTTAAAAATTCAATATGCACGAAACCATCGCGATATTACTTACACCACTGTGTAGACTAGTTGTAATCTTGCGAACTTCTATTTCAGGTTATTTGAGAATTAAAACACATCGCATTAAAATGTACCTAAACTTTTCAAAACTAATAAGCGTTTTTTATTTTAGGCTTGAATTCTATCGAACAATGCAATGCCCCTTAGGCGTGGTGCACAGGATGACCCATGAGTTGAGGCTAAAAACGGATAAATGTCTTGATTATCAAGTATCGGTTTGCCCCTTCTTTTACATTATATAACTTTTTTTAAAATGAAGGCATGTTGTCCCTAATAATGGGTTGCTGAAGTTACTAATTTGATTTACAGAATGCACGCATATTTTAAAGCCAACATGATAAAGGCTTGCGTGCAGCACACTGGCACTTCCCTAAAAATGAAAGAAGACAGAAAGCTACAACAGAATACATATGTGCCAAAATACAGTAGGAGTTGGGCTACTAGCATGGCCCTGGGGCTTGCCATCCCTGCGAAGTTTCAATGGGGAAGCCAATATAAACCAGTAATAGGCTGCAGCACGATTGCTCTAATCTTAAATTGCACTTCAGTTTTGTAGCCATGTAAGGAGCTCCATTGATTAAAATTTGACCCACTAAAAGTGGGGACAAGGGTGTTCTTCTACATGCTGAATTATGTAATAGTCTACACTGAATAGCAGCAATGCTCTTGAACAGGCTCCTGACAACGATCTTTGATTTGCTCTGAGCTAAACGGATGGTTATTTGATTTGCATTGGTTAGAAATAATTTCGGAACCAATCTTACTTTGACCGCAAACAGGTTTTTAAATGGCTAACTAGATTTGACTTTGCTGAGTCACGGCGAATGCTTATATCCACTTTCTTCTAAGAGTATTATTGCTTCCAATCTTTTTCTTTTGAATATCGAGGGCAAAAACGTTTCATTTTTCCGTTAACTAGACGCGCTGAAGGCTAGCTGTCCAATTATGCCACTAGCGGTGACACCAACCCCTCAGCCAATTGTCTTGTTGAGCGCAT